GAGAACGTGGAAGAGGCATTCTTGAAGTGTGCCCGCACCATCCTGAACAAGATAGACTCAGGTGAGGCCCCAGACTGACTGTGGCGGGAGTGGAAGATGGCCCAGGGGTCTCCAAGGGCCCAGTCCTGACCTCTCCCCTCCCTGCAGGTGAGCTCGACCCCGAGAGAATGGGCTCAGGCATTCAGTACGGGGATGCTTCTCTTCGCCAGCTGCGGCAGCCCCGGAGTGCCCAGGCCGTGGCCTCTCAGCCATGTGGCTGCTAAGATCTGCAGAGCCAGGTGGGGATACCGGGGACTTGGGGACCGCAGGCATGGTCTCCTGGCGGGGGGGAGTATGGAGCAGAGACAGAGATAGAGAAATGGAGAGAGGACAAAAGGAACAAAGTGAAAAAGAAAGATGCAGAACCACTTGACTTAAAGAAACCATCTTCCTGGCCACAGGGAAGCTTTCTCTGTCCCACTGCCAGCTCTCTGCCCTGGGTCTCTGATGTTCCTCCCATTCATAATTCATCAAATATTTATTGAGTGCTTGTGATGTGCCAGGGCCTGTTCAAGGCACTGGGGATACAGCAGTGGGTCAAAGAGCCTAAAATCCCTGTCCTTGTGGAGGCAATATGCTCTGGGAGGAGATAGACCACAAACAAGATACATAAGTAAATTATATGGTAATTAGGGAGAGAAGAGCTACGGAGAAAAATAACATACATAGGACAAAAGAAGGGCGGGGAGGTAGAGGAGTGGGACTTTAAACAGGATGATGTGGAAGGACTCCCTGAGAAGGTGACATTGGAGCAAAGACCTGTAGGAGGAGAGGGAGGGGGTCATGCGAGCCCCTGGAAGAAGAGTATTCTAGCCAGAGGGAACAGCCAGTTCAAAGGCCCTGAGGCAGGGTCATACCTGGCCTGAGTGAGGAAGTCTAAGGAGGCAGCGTGGCTGCAGTAGAGCACGTGTGGTGTGTGTGTGTACTGGGGGCAGGTGAGCAGGAGATGAGGTCAGAAGTGGGGAAAACAGGTGAGTCCAGGCCTTGTGAGTGAGCCATAGGGAGGCCTCTGGCATGTACCCTGGTGGGATGGGAGCCTTTAGGAGGGCTCCAAGCAGAGGAGGGACAGGATCTGATTCAGGCATTCGCAGGAGCCCTCTGGCAAGGCTGTATAGAGGGGAGACCGTTGAGGGGCAAGGGTGGTTTCTGAGGAGACCTGTGAGGAGGCTACTGCAAAGTCAAGGTGAGAGACAATTGTGAACAGGACCAGGGTGCGACAGAGAAGAGACTGACAAATGGATAGTTTGTATCCTCCCTCGTCTCTGTTTCCAGTCTTGTCCCCTTTTGATGTAGCCACTGGGTCGTTCTAAAGCACACATCTGATCCTAACCTTCCTCTGTTTCAAACCAACCATGACCCCCAGGGTCATGGGCCATAGCTGAAGCTCCTCACCCAGCCCTACCTGCCTCAACCAGCACCTCACATCTCTCAGGCCTCCACATCTACACTGAAGGTCTTTCCATTTCTCTGGGTCTTTGCATATGCTGTTCCCTCTGCCAGGAATACCATTCCTTCCCTCTCTTCTCTGGTAACCTCCTCCCTGTCCTCCAGAAAGCCTTGCTTTTTCCCCTATGCTTGGTCCAAAGTCCTTGACAAGCTTGCAAGATTCTGTAGGATTTGGTTCCATGCGCACCTGTCTGAGGGTGTGTGTGTGTGTGTCTTGCCATGTACCCCTTGTGTGCTCCAGGGAGGCTGTGGGGGAAAGTGGCTACAACTTGGATGTACTTGGAAGGCAGAGCCCATAGGACTTCCTGAGGATTGGATATGGCATTTGAGAGAGAGGAGTCAGGGTGCTTTGGGCAGCACTGTCTTCCTTCCAGGCCTTTGCATCCGCTGTCCCTCTGTGGGTTGCCTGCTCTCCCTTCTTTCTTATGCCAACTCCCACTCGTTATCTGGTCTCTGCTAAAATGACTTTTTCTGCCGGAAACCTTTATTGGCTTCCCAGATGGGGTGGTCTGACACCTGCCCCCTCCTTTTGAAAGCATTCAACTCTGTACACTTGATCACTGTTATTTGTATGTGTTTTTCTTCTCAACCTGGGAAGGGAAGGAGGTGACAGATCATTATTTGAATTCTGACTCTGTCACTTTGTACCTGTGTGACTCTGGGCTAGTTACTTAACCTCCCTGGGCCTTGGTTTCCTCATCTGTAGAATGGGACTAATAATTAGTACCTACTTCATATGGGTGTTGAGAAGATTAATTAAGTTAATTCATGTAAAGTGCTTAGACTAGGGTCAAGCACTTAGGAAGGACTCGCTAAATGAGGGCTGTTTATTATTTTTCTTATTGTCTGTTTTAAAGACTGGGCTGTGTAGAAATGGACAGACATGTACTCTCCAGCTCAGTGCTTAGTATAGGGTCTGTTTTGGGGTTTGCCTCAGTGAATCAAATGTACAAGACAGTACCTATTCAAACTTTGTTGACTGCAATCTACAGAAGGAAGTATATTTTATATGTTGATCTAAAACAGTGACACGCATAAAACAGAAACACACGTTTTCCAAGCACTATTTTTTTACTGAGGTGAAATTTACATAAATTTAGCCATTTAACAGGTACAATTCAGTGGTATTTAGTTCAGTTCATTCACAAGGTTGTGCAACTGGCACTTCTGTCTAGTTCCAGAGCATTTTCATTACTCTAAAAGGATACCCCACATCCATTAAGCAGTCAGTCCCTATTCCCCCCAGACTCTGATACCCACCAATCTGCTTTCTGTCTCTGTAGCCCAATATTCTTAATACATAAGATGTACTTTGGTATTTTCTATTCTGTTTTATTCTATTTCAATAAAAACTTGGTTCAGGGCCCACCAAACTGTTTTCCCAACCACTCATGCAGTGCCGTGCATTGGAACCATCAGCAGAGCTTTAAAAGATAGTCATGCCCAGGCCTTACCCCAGAGACTCTGGAATGATTCTGGAATTTCTAGAAGCTCCCAGATAATGCTATCTGCAGCCAAATCAAATGTGTCTCCTTAGCTTGGAAAACACTGGAATGAGATCTACAGGTGGGGTATCCAGGAACATAGAGGGACACAGAGATATAAAGGTGGGGACATGGAATTTAGACAATTAGATGCCCCTCTATAGACTCAAGGAGCCAGCTCTCTGAGGCAAACAAACAGGAAGATGTAAGTGCCCTCAGAGAGAGCCCAAAGTTACCTGCAGAGGAGAAACAGAAAGTCAGACAGGCAGACAGTGTAGAAACTTTGGGAGAAAGAGAAAGGTATGGATAGACAGACAGGAATAAGAGGACAGGAAGATACCCAGAAATGAGACAAAGATACCTGCTGGACTAACCCAGGATCCTTCTAGATCATCACACACTTTTTTTTCAGCTCACCTGTTCTCCAGGACCAGCCCTGCCCTTCCGGCTAGGGACCAGACCCAGACCCTTGGGAGGCCAAACCCCTCACCTGCCCTGGCCCCAGAGAAGCTGCCCCGCCACCTGTCCCCCTTCCCTGGCCTGATGGGGCCTGGCTGAGGGGCAAGACTGAGCCACGGGGGAAGGGGGGATCCATACCTGCTGCTGCTTCCTCTGTCTTGGCTAACCCCTGTCCCCCTTGAGCCCCTGACCATACTCGAAGAGTTCCCAAAGCCTGAGACCAGGGCCATTTGGCCCAGCTCCCCACCTGACCCTGACATTGCAAGTACTTGTTATTTATTACCTGGAGGCCTGGTACCCACCCCATCCCCATAAAGCATTGTTTACATCTGAGTCTTGGCCTCCATCTTTTTGGGGTAGTGGAGAGGGAGGGGAGACAGAAGAGGTTCCTGATGGAAGAATTGTCTGTCTTGATGTTTGGGGCCATGTTTCTGGGTTGGACATGGTGTGGGGGTATGATGTGTCTCCATGACTTAGGTATCTGTTTTGGAGGGAGTCTGTCCCTGTGCACATTTTCTGTGACAATGCATGCTGGAGGTCCACATGTGTGACACTCATGTCCCTGAGTGACGTCTGTGATGGTTTCTGTAGGAATGTGTGCTGCTTGTGTGTGACACTGCTTCTTGTTGACTGCTCTGTCCTCAGTGGTTGTATCCATGAGGCTAGTGACATTTGGGATGCCAAGGCCAGAGAGTGTGTTTTGGTATGAATTTGGTTCCTTTGATACACCTGTGTGACCATGAATCCCGTTCGTGCAACCCTGACTCAAGTGCGTACTTGAGACGGGTGTGTTTCTCCTTGTGTCCAGCTGAACTGCTTATTACCTGTATGTGCTCTGCCAAAGTCAGGTGCAACCCCATCAGGACATTTTCAAGTGCTCCACCACCCACAAGTCAGCCTTAACCTATCACGGGGTTGGCCAGAGCCCACGTCCACCCCCCCGCGCCTCTCCACCTCCTGAGGGGACGCGGCATTTAATCTCCTTATCGGCATAGCCCTCCCCCACCCCTGCTCTCCTAGGTCGCTTTATTCAAACTCCCACAGTTGACCCGTGGGGGCCGGGCAGAGTGGGATCTGGTATATTTGCCCATCCCTTCCAGTCGGCTCTTCCTTTTCAAGGACGCTCCGCACTTCTTTCCCTCCGTTATAAAAAGTACTCATGTAAATTTGACGTGCTAATTTACATACCTTTCCCAACTACGCTTTTTTCATTATCTCATCCCTATTCTTGGGTTTGAGAAGGCCGAGCTTTCATGTAAATCAATTAATTTGCATATCACTCCCTGACCCTGCCCACCCTTATTCCACGGCGTTTTGGGCTTCGAGGGGGTGGGGCTGCCCATGTAAATATACTTATGTGCATACCTTTCCGTCCCTCGCTCGGCGTAATACACGCAGAAACTCCCAGAGTCAGCCTTTCCTAACTGCTTTCCTTCCGCAAAAGGGGCGGAGCGGGGAATGCAAATAACCTCGCGCCGGCTACCGACCCACTTCCCCTTTCTATCTGGGCTGTTTTGAACTACCTCGCCCCGCCCCTCTCGGCTCGCGCCTGCGCACGTGCCGTCTTCTCCGCGGGCGCGGTCACGTGCCCACCGGGCGAGGCGGGGGCGGAGCGTCGAGGGTGGTGGGGGCGGGGTATGGCGCGCTGTGCGGCGCAGGGCGGCTGGCACAAACGGCGGCGCCGAGGCCGGAGGAAAGAGCTGGGTGAGGAGGGAGTGGGGAGGGAAGGGCGAGAGAAAAAGAAGGCGCTCGAGCCGGGGAGCCTTGGGGAGTTGGACGGAGCCAGGCGGGTGGCGGGGAGCGGGCGCCCGACCCGCCGTGACGGAGCGTGGCGACCCCGGGTGGGGGTAGGGCGTGGGGGAGGGAAGGCGCGCCGGCATGTTGGATGCCGGCCGTTGGCTGCGGGGGAGAGCCGGGAGTGGGCTGGGGAGGGGCACGGGGCCCCAGCGGCCTCTGGGACCTGCCTCCGTCGCTTGCGGCGCCGCGAGGGTCCTCGGGCCCGCACAGAAGCGGTTTGGGAGGGGGCGCTTTTTCCCGTCGTCCTGTCCCGGAGTGCTTGAACCCTCCTCCGCCCTTCCTTCTGTCCCCTTGGTCCCTCCTCCCGCGGCTCCCTTCCGTCGGTCTGTCTTAGGACCTCCCTTCCGTCTGGGTGTGTGTCGGCCCCCGACTGGCTTCCTCCGGTGGGGCTCTGCTTGACCCTTCCACTCCGTCGGTCCGGCTGTGTGAGGCCCGCCCCTCCCACCTTCCGTCCGTTTTTCTGTGTTTGGGTCCCCCCCCCTTCTCTTTGTCTCTGGACTCCCCACTTTCGTCTGCGGGCCCCCAATTCCCTTTGCGTCTCTGTGGTGTCCCCAGGCTCAACCCCCTGTCTGTTTCCAGCACTTTTACTCTCCACTTCACCGTCCCGTTTCGACTTCAGGTCCTCTCTTTCTCCCCTGATCTAGTCTGTTTTCTGTGTCTCTATCCACGCATGCTGTCCCTTAGCCCCCGCCGCGGTCCTCTGTCTTTGGGTCGTCTACCAGCCTCACTCCTCAGCTGACCCCTCACTGCGTCTTGTTACTCCCCTAATTCCCACGTTTTTCTCCCCTACTTGTATTCAGGTTTTGCGGGTCTTTGTAGCCAAATCGGTTGTCCTCTCTGCTATCCCTGCACCCCCCAATCCCTTCTCCAGCCCACCTGCCTCTACCTTCTCTCTCATCCTTTTTCCTCTCTCTCCCTCTAGCCACCCTGACGGGTCCCTTCCCAAGCCCCTAGGGGCAGCAAAGGACTTGGGGACCAGCGAGAACCCCCAGGGCACGAGAAGAGCCTCTGCTGCCTGCCTGCCCTGCCTCACCCTGCCCCACACCAGGCCCAGCCGCCCCGGCCCCGGGCTGCATCCAGTGGAGGAGGAGGAGGTGGAGGAGGGTGGCACCATGGGCCCGGGCCGTGCCCTCCATGCCCGGGGGATGAAGACGCTGCTGCCATGGACAGCCCGTGCCAGCCGCAGCCCCTGAGTCAGGCTCTCCCTCAGTTGCCGGTTTCTGTGCCAGAGCCCTTGGAGCCTGGCCGGGTCAGGATGGGGGTGGAGAGTTACCTGCCCTGTCCTCTTCTACCCTCCTACCACGGTCCAGGAGCATCTGGTGAGGCCTCGGCGGGGAGTGGGACCCCCAGAGCCACAGCCACTTCCACCACAGCTAGCCCCCTGCGGGAGGGCTTCGGTGGGCAGGATGGTGGTGAGCTGCGGCCGCTGCAGAGTGAGGGTGCCGCGGCTCTGGTCACCAAGGGGTGCCAGCGACTGGCAGCCCAGGGTGCCCGACCTGAGGCCCCCAAACGGAAATGGGCAGAAGATGGTGGGGATGCCCCCACATCCAGCAAGCGGCCCTGGGCTGGGCAGGAGAACCAGGAGGCAGAGGGGGAGGGCAAGGGTGGCATGGGCTGCAGCAGTGGCAGTGGCGAGGCCAGTGCTGGGCCGAGGGAGGAGGTGCTGCCTGCTGCACCTGAGCGCTTGGCCCTGGACTATATTGTGCCCTGCATGCGGTACTATGGCATCTGCGTCAAGGACAGCTTCCTGGGGGCGGCACTGGGCAGCTGCGTGCTGGCTGAGGTGGAGGTCCTGAAGCGGGATGGTCTCCTGCGTGATGGGCAGCTAGTGAGCCAGCGGGCCATCCCGCCACGCAGCATCCGAGGGGACCAGATTGCCTGGGTGGAAGGACACGAGCCAGGCTGCCGAAGCATTGGGGTCCTCATGGCCCACGTAGACGCTCTAATCCGGCACTGTGCTGGGCGACTGGGTGGCTATGTCATCAACGGGCGCACCAAGGTAAGGCTCTGGGGACTTTGTGTGGAAGGGCTGCCTAGCAGTTGTTGGATGGCTAATACTCTGGGCACCAGTGGGTTTGAAGACAGGCTTCTGGGGTCACAGCAGGGTTTAGACAGCTTCAGGGAAGGGAGTGCTGAAATTTGCTTTGTGTCTCACTCCCCGTGGGGACTCAGGGTGTCTGCAGTTTCTTCCTGTGGGCCTTCGTTTGTGCACCTGTAAACCAGGGGTTTAGCTTGTAGCTGTAGTGGTTCTTGACTTTGCCAGGGATCTTTAGAAAAACCTGAGTTGAGGTACCGAGATTCATAGCCTGCACCTGTGCATAGGCCATGCTGGGGTTCACAGCCCTCTGATGTCTGTTCTTGAGTCCCAGACCAAGAATGGTCAGTGTGGACTGGCACATAGTTTTTCTTCCATCTGACCACTTGCACCTGTCTGTTAGTTCTTCTCTATTCCCTTTTCCTTTCATTCATTTCTGTCTGCTGGCCTGTCTAGTCCATTCTTAGGAGAACCAAGAGACTGAGTGGGGAGGATAGCAGTGGTGAGGGTAGTGCCAGGCTGAGGGAGGAGGTGCTGCCTGCTGTGTCTGGTGCAGTGCTGCATTGTGCCCCATATGCTGTACAGTGGCATCGGTGTCAAGGACACCTTTCTGGGAGTGACACTGGTGGCTGTGTGCTGGCCAGGTGGAGGCCTGCCCCCCATGTTTCCCATCCCTCCCCGTTTTAGTCCGTATCCCTCATCCTTTCTGCCTTGTCCATAACTTCATCCCTGTCTGGCTTGGGTCTCTTCCCATGTTCCCCTGCTTTTGTGTCCTTTCTGGTCCCTTTTGCTTGTTTGAGAATAGTGGTTCCTAATCTTTTCTTGGAATCTGGGCCTTTTTGAGAATCTGCCAAAAACCACAGAGCCTCTTTTTAAGAACTTGTTCATTTGATTGGGGTTTATGGAGAGTCATCAGGGAGGCCGCCTTGGCCTCCAGCTGCCCATTCAGGAGCCCTGCACAAGACACCGATCCATAGGGCCTTTCTGGCCTGCTGCCAGGATGACACTCCTTATGAAGGAGTGCGAGTGGCTGGCCTTGAGTCCAAGGCTTAGTGTCATTTGGCCAAGGCCCTGCAGGGAGTATCCTCTGCACAACACTGGTGATGCTTGGCTGATGGCAGGGTCTGCCTTCTGCTCTGTGAGCATGAGGCTGTGCTCTTGACATTCCCTCTCCTCTCAAGATCTCATGATGGGTTCTGCCTCTGTGCAGCTCCACTGTGAGGCTGGAGCTGGCTCAGGAACCAGGGCTCCCTTGGGGCCGAGACCAGTGTTCTCCCTACTCCAGCTGGAACTTGTCCTACTTCCCTCTCCCTCCTGTTACTTGATAGCTGGAGAGCTGGGCGCAGCCCTTCCCCAGCCTGGCTCCTGCACAGGCTGGAGAGATCACTGGGAGTCTCCCTGCTCACAGGGTGCTCAGCACCTTCACCCCAAGGTCACCTACCCTCCAGGGAAGAAGGCTGGGGGAGACCACAAGAACCAGGTGTCTAGGGCAGGACACTTCTGAGCCTCAGTTTGCTCATTCACAGGATAGGAAAATCAGGCTTGTCTGGAGCCATTGTAGGAGGATCGGGTGGGTAGAGGGAGCAGGTCTCTGCTCCTTTGAATGTAGTTGGGACCAGGGCCTGGGCTAGGATGGTGTGTGTGTGTGTGTGTGTGTGGCTGTGTGTGTTGGGACTTCTTTAGCCCTGGAGTAACCCTTATTGCCCTGGGAGGCAAGAACACGCCAGGCTGGATAGAGGAGGGAGGAGAGGAGCCAGCCCAATCACTGAAGTTCCTCTCAGACCCTCCCCTGCCCCAGTGAGACAGCAACTCCAGGCTTCCCTGCCTTCAAAGGGCAACATCTTGGCCCCCTCTCCGGGCTCTGGAGTAGGACTGTGTGGGTTGCTGAGGTGTGTGGTCACATGGTGTTGGGGAGGGGCACAGATCCTAAGTGTGGCTGGGGCTGGCAGCAACCTGCCTCTCAGTTTGTTCTGAGTTCAGCTCCTGTGTTCCCTTCTCTCCCTAGTTCCTCTGCCCAGTTGACCTGCAGATGAAGAGAGATGACTTCCCCTTGCCTCAAGGACTACCATAGGGGACCCCAGGGAGGGCCTGGCTGGTTTGGTTTACCCCTTTAAGGCTAGCTTGGAGGTGGGGCCTGCTGTCATTGGCTCACTCCCTGGCTTCTGACTTAGTGGGGTAGTGGTGGTGGTGTGTGTGTAAGTAATTCTTGGCACATTGTCACCAATAGCGTTTAACTCTTAAGTCTCCTGGCTCTGATCAACTTCCCCTTTCCTGAGATGGGAGAGTGAGAAACAAGTTTCCATATCTCTCTGCTTATTGTCCTGTTCTTTTGTGGTTGCAGGAAATAGATGCTTCTCTGGGTTCAGAGGATGCTGCCCCTCCGCCAACTAACGTGTGTGTGTGTGGGAACCTTAAAGGGCCTGTTTCTGTGCCCAGCCTTCTTACACAAGAGTCATTACATTCCAGACTCCAGAGGGTGTTCTGCCCGCATGGGGGGGTGACCCTGTGTGAGGGTGCACTGGTAGGACAGAGTGGATGCCCTGGACTGAAAAGAGTGCCTTCAATCAGCAGCTACTGCCTGGGCACTAGGGAGACAAGCTTGGCCCCAGGAGCTCCTCTGGGGCTTCCTTTCGGACAAAACTAGGTAAACAAGTACCTGAGTAGACTTCACATTGAGAGGGGTGGATGGAACATCAGCCCAGGTGCCTTCAGCTGGAGTACCTATGGTGGCCCTTGACTGGAGATCTAAATAACAGAGAGGACCAGGGGGAAGAGTATTCCAGGTAGGTGCAGAGGCCTTGGGGGTGAGCTTGGCCTGGTCAGAGAACAGTCAGGAGTCTCTAGGCTGGAGTGATGGGGATAGTAGACGAGGTTGATGGCGTTGGAGGTTGTGGTCAATGGGGAGCTTGAAAGGATTTGAGCAATGAAGAGCTCCAAAAAAGGTCTCTGGCTGCTGTGGGGTTGGATTGTAGAGAAAGAGGCTGCAGCACTTCCTTTCCCACTGGCAGAACCAGCAAAATCTGCTTGGATTCTAACTGTGGAGGGCTTGCCTGTCCCTGATCAGACTCACTGAGTCCAGGCCACCTCTCAGTGGGGTGGTTGCTCGGAGCTCTGAGCTGTCTGCAGGGAGCAAGCAGTGCAGAGAAGGTTCTGCTGAACCTGCAGCTTGGGGCCAGGGTCTTTCCCTGTGCTGCTGAAGAGAAGCGGAGGCTTTGCGCTGCTGGGTTAGCCATATCCGGTGGCAGTCCTCCTGGTCCCTTTCCCAGGGCAGGTGCTTAATGCAGGGCACTTTATCATCCACCTGGGATGAGCCCTGGGAATAACTTGGTGTGTGAAGGCCGAGGGAGTGAGTGCTGGACATTCTTCTGTTTTGACAGCAGAGGCCAGTCCTCTAGGTCAGGGATGTTGTCTCAGGGCTGTGGCCCGCAGGTGTAGCCGAGCGTTGTGGGGTGTGGCAGTCCTGGTGTGGACTGAGGAGTCAAGACAGATGGTGGGAGGAACTGCAGGGTCCTCATGACAGTGTTCCCCTCTTTGCCTCATCCTCCAGTGGCTTTGATCAGAGGATAGACAGTGACTCTTTTTTTTTTTCTTAATGTCATTTCAGCCTGTTCTTAGTTTCTCTTTCATGTGGCAGGCACCATGCTGGGTGCCTTCCCAAACGTTCATGTCTTGTCCAGTTCCCACAGTGACCTGTGGAGTGGCTGTGAGCCCCAGTTCATAGATGAGGAGTTAGGTCTGCAGGAGTGGCTGGGGCCCAGGCCTCGGCATGGTCAGGGCTGGCCAGGACCTAGGGAACAGCAGCTGTTAGGGAGAGGAACCCTGTGGCTAGACTGTACACACAGAAGCCAAGATCTGGAATGAGCCTTTTTAGATCTGGTGGGGGGCGTCAAGAACCTCCAGAGTTATGTTCTCAGGGGGGCTTAATGTTACTGCTGAAGATAGAAAGTTGTTTATTAGCCCATTGTACAGATGAGGCAGTTGAGGCCTAGTCATTTGATGGGACTTTTCTGTCCAGGGCTACTCAGCAAGCAGCAAGATAGCCTTGGAATTGGGATTAGATCCCAGGTTCTAGTCACACTGTAGGTTTTGGTACCTTGTCAGATGTGTAGGAAATAGGTCATTCGTTTGTCAGGGGGAGTTCTCTATAGTCACGGGCAGCAGTTCTCAACATTGCTGCATATATTAGAATAACTGGGGTGGGGGTGGCAGGGTGGGGTGTTCAAAATTTCAGGCTCCAACTGAGGGCATCAGTGTCCCAAGTGATTCCACCTAGTAGCCGAGGGTCAAGACTCTTGTGTAGGGCTGTGGGCCACATCCCCACATACCAGAAAATACTGAGATTTCTTTTATTCTACTGAAATGCCTCAGGTGGGATTGAGTTATCTGTAAAAAATCAAACCCCCCAGTTCTCTTATTGTGCCCCATCTGGATGCAGGTCCTCGGCATGTGAGCATGGGGAGTGGGCTCTTGAGGCCTTGCAGCTGAGGTTTCTGGTAGATGGGGGCTTGGCTGAAAAGGAGAAAGGCTGGGCATTGGAAGCCTTGGAGCCCAGGACATTCAAGTCAGGGGAGAGACAAGGGGCAGGGAGGGGTGAAAAGGAGGACGTGGTGGTTGCTTCCCCAAATGTCCCTGCCTAGCCCCAGTAAACCCACCTACATCCGTCTCTGCCAGGCCATGGTGGCGTGTTACCCAGGCAACGGGCTGGGGTACGTGAGGCATGTGGATAATCCCCACGGCGATGGGCGCTGCATCACCTGTATCTATTACCTGAATCAGAACTGGGATGTCAAGGTAGAGTGTGGGGCTGGTGGGGACAGCTGCATCCACTGTTTTCCACTTACTAGCATTTTCCCATTCCTCTTCGCAACCTACAGTGGGGTGGTGCAGTATGCTGGCTGGCTCTTCCTGGGAAATGGTACCTCTTCTCCAGCTAACTGGTCACTTGCAGGGATGGTGCTGTCTGCCCAGTCTCAGGCCTTATGAACACTCCTCCCCCACTTCCTGTGGTCTTCAGTAGCTTCCTTCCCATCTCCATGGTGATGCAGACCATGGGCTGCTATTAATTTTAAGACCCTCAGGGGTGGGAGGGAGTTGTGTGCCGCTGCTGCGCCCCCTGGTGGGCTTCTGGGGGTGGACCGTGCAACGTGGAGGTTCCAGGCAGGAGCAGCACCCCCCACCCCCCACCCCCACCCTCTGGCCTGCCCTCAGGTGCACGGTGGCCTGCTGCAGATCTTTCCTGAGGGCCGCCCTGTGGTAGCCAACATCGAGCCACTCTTTGACCGGCTGCTCATTTTCTGGTCTGACCGGCGGAACCCCCATGAGGTGAAACCAGCGTATGCCACCAGGTATGACCCATGTTTCTGGGAATGTGCCCAGGTGCTCCTCTGGTGCCCCCAAAGTCTTACCATGTCCCTGGAGTGACTAGGGAGTGATGAAGTGCTGAGAGGAGGTCTAGATGGGAACGGAACCAGGCTCAGAAGGGTGGACTGTAGTTTCAGTTTGGGTATGGTGACTGCAAATGAGGAAAAGTCATCTCTGACTGCCTTCTGGGGCTGCTCTGGTTCCCAGGTATGCCATCACTGTCTGGTATTTTGATGCCAAGGAGCGCGCAGCAGCCAAAGACAAGTATCAGCTAGGTATCTGCTTCCCAAGTGGCATCCCCTCCTTCAGCTCCTTCCTATTCCATGTACTCACTAGGCTTCTGACTACTCATTCTTCTTCCCATCTGATCACCTTCCCTAGACAGCCCACTCTTCTGGTATCCCCAGCATGAGCCCCGTCTCCTCTGGTCCTCTCCCCCATCGTCCCAGGTTTTCCTTGGTCTCTTTGTCCCTTCCCTGATGATTCACTGTCTCCTGTCCCCTTCTCACCACCAGCATCAGGACAGAAAGGTGTTCAAGTTCCTGTATCACAGCCAACTACACCCACCTAGTGGCCGGCCCTGAGCTGCGTGGACAGGCAGCTTGCCCCGACTGCTGGAGTGTCCCCGGCCCTGTGCTGCTGAACCAGCAGCCCACCATTCTTGGTGCCTGCTCCTTCCCTGCCACCACCACTGCTTCCAGCTTTGCCTCTGTCCTGTCCTGCCTGGTGTGGAGGGCTCTGTCCATTGCTGAGGACCAAGGAGGAGGAGAGACCTCTGCTGCCCTGTGATGGAGGCCAGGGCTGTGACACAGGCAGGGGCCAGTAGTGGGGCTACCATTACTGGAGCTTGGGGCCTGTGTCCTGCCCTGTCTGGTCATGCCCCTTACAGGTGTGGAAAGCTGGAAGGAGGCATTGCCACCTCCCACCAGGATGCAGGATTTGGGGTTGGGGTGAGTCATGGCCTCTTGCTGGGAAAGGTTTGTGTGTGGGGGATAATTTCCACGGCCCCCCCACCCCGACTTCTCCAGTCTGGAATGTGAAGTGACTCCCCAAACCCTTGGACCATGGCACCTTTTGGACTAGAATGCCACTGCTTGGGTAGGATAAAAGGTGCAGGTAGGAGCATGGGTGTGAAAGTCCTGTCAGCCAAGAAAGAAATAAAAGTTTACCTCAGAGCTGCACACACTTGATGCTCTTTTTGGTAAGGAGGGTGCTTCATCTGCAATTCAGGGCCTTTAATGACCAAAAGGGTAGGGAGGTTTGAGAGCCAGTGAGCAGAGGGTAGGTGAGCCTGACCTCAGCGGGCCACCAGGCGGAGCTGGAAGGCTGGGGGCACGTTGCCCAGGCCAGTGCATTGTGGGGTGAGGTCAATGTTGGCAGGGCTCCCCACAGGGAGCAGACAGAACCGTTGGAGGATGGTTGTGAAGAAGAGGAAGATCTCTGATCGTGCTAGGCCTGCACCCAGGCACATCCGCTTTCCTAGGGACACAGGGACACAGGGTGAGAACCCCATATACCCTAGGGCTTGTTGAAGCTGGTCTCCTCCCTGCCTGGCCCTAACCTAGGGCAAAGGGCATGAAGGCATCATTGCTCTGGAACTTGCCCTTGTCATCCAGGAAGTTGGTGGGGTTGAAGCAATCTGGGTCCTTGAATTGGCTGGGGTCCCGGTGTGCAGACACAAGCAGAGGAATCACGAAGGTACCCTTGGGGAATGCACAAGGGTTACCCGAGACTTCAAGCAATTGCCTTTCTGCCATCTAAAACCCTGTTTAAAAAGTAGGCTTTTCTTGCTCCCAGGGCTATTCCTGTGCATGCCCATGTGGCTGCTGCTCTTTGTTAATCAGCCCCCATGCAGAATCCCCAGGTTTGGTGGGCACCTTGGGGAGAAAGTGGCCATGCAGGTGGGTGTTGTGGGTGAGGGCACGAGGCAGCCCTAGTGGTAGCACGCTGGTGAAGCGCTGGAGCTCATGCAGCACAGCGTTGGTGTAGGGCAGGTGCTCACGGTCCGCCAGGCTTGGAGTGCGCATCCGACCTACCACAGCGTCCAGCTCAGCCTGCATCTTGGCTGGGGCAGGTGGAAAGTGTGACTTGTGCGTGCCACAGTCCCCAGCCATATCCAAGCCACAGCCCCCCTTCATCCTTGGCTCTCTAGCTTACAGACCTGTGACCTCTGGGTACTTAAGCAGAATGAGGAGCCCAGAGCGCAGGGTGATGCTGGTGGTCTCGGTGCCACCGAAGAAAAGGTTATGTGTAGTCATCACCAATGTCTCCTCCTGGAAATGGCTCTCTGGATTCTTCTGTTCCTGAGACAGAGAAGGATGCTGCTTCATGCCAGGTACCTACCTAGTGAGAAACATGGATAGAGTTCAGGGCAGCTGGGGCATGCACCTTATCCATCTGATCCAGGAAGCAGTCGATGAAATCACGGGGCTCCCCAGGTTGCCGAGTCTGCCGGTGCCTCTGGATTTGCTCAGAAATGAAGATACGAAGCTCCTCAAAGTTTTGGAAGATTCGATGATGTGGGCCAGGGATCCAGTTCAGGAGGGAGGGGAAAATGTTGTACATCTGTGGGGACAGAATTTCAGTAGACATTTGAACAAGACTGCTAGTTATCCAACAGGGAGACCGCATGAAGACATGTTACAAGTTCTAGGACTTCCAAGATTCTAGACTCTTCCAGTGATTTAATGTAGGTAGGTCTACATACCCAGGGTTTAGCACAGGGCACACAAGGGAGAGGCTAGAGCTGGCCCTCTCACCTCGCCCCACCTGGAACTCATGATGCGGAAGTTATCACTGAAGAGGTCTAGGAGCCTCAGGAACTCCGGGTCGTCATAGCCATAGCGGTTCCCAAAGACCACAGAACAGATAACATTAGATACAGCATTATGTAGTAGTTGCTGGGGGTCGAACGGGGCTCCTGGGAGTGGAACAGGACAAGGTCATAAGTGGCACCCAGATAACATGGCTTCGTCCCATCCGTCGTTCCCGCGTCCCTTTCTAGTCCACTGGTTACACCCACGCGAAGTCCCTCACTTTCCCGACTAGGCCTCACCAACAGTGGCTTGCAATTCGCCAAGCAGACAAGCCGCCTCCTCTAGGATGCGCTCCTCGATGGTCCGCGACCCCAACCCGAACTCCTTAAGCGCCCCAAGTGTAAAATTGCGCAGCGTCCGCCAGCGCTGCCCGTTGGAAAAAACGATACCTGCGGCGGGGCAGAGAAGGGGGCAGGCCAGAGTAGTGGCCTGGACTTCCTTGCAACCCTTCGGTCTGCTTATTTCCAGATCTCTTAGTTGCCACCCCAGCCTTCTTGGCTCCATCCATCTACACAGGGGTCCTTCTGCTGGTCCGGATCCCTGCCCACCGCTGGCTCTTTGGCTTTGACTCTTAGGCTCTCCTATTGGCTGCGTGAGGAAGCTGCCCTCCGCTTTCAGCCCCTACACCTTAGCTCCGCCCCCGCTCGCCGTGCGCCCTCCTTAGCGCTGCTCCTCTATTAGGCCCCGCCCCAACCTTTTATCCCAGACTGCCCTAGGCCCGCGCTCCCGCCGCCCGGGCCTCACCGTTTCCGCGCGTGAAGGGTTCGAAGACTGCCATGGCCCCGCGGCCGGAGAAGGCGTCCGCTTGCCGCACTAACGCGTCCCGCAGTGCGGCGTAACCACACAGCACCACTGCAGGGCGCGGGCCCAGCCGCACTGTGAACACCGGGCCCCAGCGGGCAGACAGCTGCGCGGAGCCGGTGCTCAGCGGGTCCGGGTCGGGGATCCTGACCCGCTCCTGCACCGAGACCCCCATGCCACCTCCCTCAACTTCACACCCAGGTATCCCACTCTCAACCTCGCATTCCAGGCCCAGGAGTCCAGGTCCCCAGCCTCATTGTACCTCTGACCCACGAGTCAAGCCCCCAGCTCTCTCTTCCCTCAGATGTGGAAGTCCAGGTCCCCAGCCTTCTGCACCCCTCAGAACTGGGCGTCTGGGCCCTCAGTACCCGACTCCTTGCCTCAAGCCCGGAGAACACACCTCTCAGCTCCCCTCCCCGACCTGGCTTTCCACAGCAGGCTCCTCCTCTCACAGCCAGATGTCCTGGCCCCCAACCTTCCACGCCCGCAGGCTCCTTCTTTTCAGACACAGGACTCCAGACCTCTCAACCTTCCTCATGATCCGGCCGGTTCGAGCTCTCAGCTCTGACCTCATTCAGAGAACCAGCTCCTATACCAACTTTCAGGACATCAGAATTCTTTTTCCCCAACCCCCTGACAGGGCTACCTCCATGAGTGTGCGATCCAGGCGTCGGGGCACCAGCTGCAGCAGGTTCCCCAGCAGCGGGAGTGGCGTGGGCCCCGGGGGTAAGGCCCCCTTCCTCTGAGTTTGCCTGGTGCCCCACCTCCACCTGGCTAGCGCCAGCAGAACGAATAGCCACAGCAGAGCTGTGAGGCCCGGGATCGCCATGCTGCCCATCTTCCAGGCCCGTGCCCTTCAGTTCTATTTTATCTCCTTGGGGTCTTGGGTGGAGTAGAGGCAGGCAGAGGCAGAGAACAGAGTGGGCGGGATGGGAGTCTGTAGGCTGCACCTTCCTTAGATTCCCCAATCCAAGGTCTCCACCCCGCCTCTCAGCCCATTCCCGGTTGTGCCTGGCTCTGCCTGATCTCTTTTGTGCCCGCCTCAGACTGTCCCATTTGGCAACCTCCGTGCACCATCACTTCCAGGTCGATACACCCGGCCCACAGGTGCACCCTTCCTGGATCCCTAGCACCTTTGGATCCATCCTATTTGGCCTGTAGATGTGCATCCCTCAATTCCCCGGGCCACCTCTGTCTGTGCCCAAGACCCCAAAACACTGTATCCTGTACTTCTGATTCCTAAATGAACTCCCGACTTCTAAATATGCTTCTAAAAACACCCCTGCTGACATGCCCATTAGCCTGGCACTCCTGTGCCCTGTGCCTGTGATACCTAGGGGCTTGTATCTGAGCCCTTGTCATCTCCATGCCCATTGCTCTTGGAGCCTTGTATGCTGTACCTGTCTCCTGGATGCTCACTTGAGTTCCCTTGCCTCCTGTTGCCCATCAGCTGGCATTCCTGTGTCTAGCCTTATAACTCTTGGGTGCCTTCTACATGTTGACCCCTTGTATCTCCTTCATACTTGTGCCCTGCCCTGAACTCTGCCATCTCTATTCCCAATGCTCTGGCTCCCAGATGCCTCCAAATGTCCTGTGCACATACTTCTCAACACCTGGTCTCCAGTCCCCCAGGCTCCTCACTGGGCCCTCCAGCCGAGGCCAGGCCATGATGGCAGACAAACTTAATTTCACTCCGGCAGCCCCTGGGGGTGCAGGCTGGTAGAGGATGTGGCTGAGTCAGTGCTTGGAGCCAACTTCAGAAATGTGACCCACCTTCCCACTGCCCCTGGCGTTTGGATCCAGCCTTCCACCAGGTGCCTAGCCCAGGACTGGACTTTCAGAGGCTGGGGGGTGGGGATGGGGGGGCGGCATGAAGAGTGTAGGACTGGGTTTGTCTCTGGGCATGTCTCTTGTGTCTGTCTATCTTTGCTTCATCTCAGTGTCTCTTTCAGTCTTTGCCTGTGTTTCTCTGATTCTGCTCATCTCTCTCTCTCTTTCTGTCTATCCCTGTTTACTCTCCACATCTGCTTTGGTTCATGTCCATTTTCTTTCTCTTTTCAGGATGTCTGTCTTTTTCTACTTCTCCCAGCTTGACCTTAGTCTCTGTCTATGCTTCCTTGCCTGCCTGCCGACCGCTGTCTCTGTATGTCTGATCGTGGGTCTCCCTACCTGTCAGCCCTTCTTTGTGCAGGAACCTGGGGTGGCAGGGCTTGTGGGTGGGGCCCTGGCTCTTGGGCACTAACTCAGCAGTGAGCATGTGGCCGCCACCCCACCCTGCTGGGCCAGGCCCTGTCTTTTCAAGGCAGGCATTTTATCTTGTTCACTTCCGTACCCCCAGTGCCTAAAACAGTGCTCAGCACACTAGGTACTAGATAAATGTTTGTTGAATGAATGCACACATGACTCTCTATATTGTGATATGTCTTTCTGTCTCTCTCTAGCTGAGACTCTCTCAGTCTCCATCTTTTGCTGGATCCTGTGACTGCCTCTCCTCCTTTCTGTGTGTCTCATCTCTTGAAGCTGTGTCTAGTTCACTTTTTCTTTTTCTCTCAGATCTCTCTTCATCTCTGTTCCTCTCTTACTTTTTAATCTCTGTTTTAGAATCTCCCTGTCTTCCTTCTCTCTGGACGTCCTTGACTCTCCCTATTTCTCCATATCTCTATCTTCTCTGTATGGCTCACTCTGTCTCTCTCCATTACCATCTGTCTCTTTTTCAGGATTTCCATGTGTTTTTCTTTGATGTCTCTCCATCTTTCTCAGGACCTCTGAGTTTCTCCTTCTCTCCCTCTGCCTCTGTGTCCCTGGCTGGGCCCTGGGGCAGACTCTGTGGTTGGCCTGTGGTGGTAACAGCGTGGGGATTAAGGAGCTGACGCTGCATGGTAGGACCGCCTATAAGCCTCACCCTGGCCGGCCCCATGCTCAGCAGAGCATGTCCCAGCTTCTGGTTGGCCCTGGGGAGACCCCATCCAGGGTAGGGCCTCCCAGGCCACCTCCACCCATGGCTGGGGGGCCATCACACTCTGCCTGACTCAGGCTCAATGACTCTTGGGATGCTGCTCATTGAGGAAAGCTACTGTCAGCAGAATGTTGGAGTGTCAAGTCCAGTCCCAGGTTGGGAGGCCCCAAGCCCGGGAATGCTGTCCCCACCCCAAAGGGAAGAATTGCAAGGCAAAGCAACATCTAATGAGAGGGGTGACAAATGGGGAGTTTCCATTTGTCAGGTCTTCCAGTTCCTTGCTTCCTCCATTCTTTGCCCTTCCTCTCCATATTTGATCATTTCTGATTCTTGTCTTTCTCCCCATTTCTCAGAGTCTGTATCTCTGTGCTTTCCTCTGTGTTTCTGACTTGTGAGATTGAGAGGAGCTGTGTTTGGACCAGACTGCATTCTGATTTCAGCTCCGTCCACTTTTGGCTGTGTGGTCTTGGACAAGTCACCTCACCTCTCTGGGCATCAGTTTGCTCATCTGTGAAAATGTATAATAAAATCCCTTTGCCTCACAGGGAGATTTAAAGGAGGCATTTAGAAGTGTGCACAGGAACCACTAGGTAAGGATTAGTAACTGTTATTTCTCAGTCTCTGTGTCCCTTGCTTTCTCCCTGCTTACAGCTCCGTGTTTGTAAAGGGCCAGCATCTCTTGCAGATCTGTTTGTTATCTCTCTGGCTGCTTTTTCTCAGCCTTGGTCTTTCTGTTTCTCTGTCTTCAGGCCCTCACAACCTTTACTTTCCAGCCTGTCACCAGGAAACAATTTCTCCCAATTTCTAGCCGCCCTAAGGGTGAGGTGGAACCAGTTAGGGTGTTCTCTCTGCAACCCCTTCCTTCTCCCCATCCTCGTGGGCTGTCGTTCCCCCGTTAATTCAGCCAAGGCAAGGCAGGTTTGAATCTATTACGGATTAATCTAGTAGAAAAAGATACAAAAGGTCCCCAGAGGGCGCTCAATGGAACGAGTTCAGTGGGTAAAACCAGACACGCACTTCCTCCTTCCCCGGGACTTTCTCTGTCTCTGGGGGCGCAGACCAGGTAAAGAGAGGGATGGGGGATGGGCATGTGGCAGGCACAAGGGGAGGGGAAACGAGTGTGACAGCGAGAGGGACGGGGGTACAGCGGAACGGGAAGAGGGACGGAGTAATCCCTGGACGGCCCTCGGGGTCGCAGGCGAACCGATAGGGCGGCCACTTTAGCGGGCGCGCGCGCACATCTGGAAAGGCCGCGGCACAGTGCCAATACCCGTGCCGAGCGGGCTCAGGTCAATGTCCTCGGGCGCCACCAGCGGCTGCAGCGAGAAGCTCTGCAGGATGGAGGTGAGGAAGAGGAAGAGCTCCATGCGCGCCAGCGACTCGCCCAGGCACACTCGGCGTCCTGCGGGGTTGGGGAGTGGCGAGCAGCGGTGAGATGGGGTGTGGGACTCCAGCCCCAGTTCTCAGAAGACATATGAGAGTAACGGTTGGGGACGCCTCAGACCCACCCATCTAAAGATCTGAGCAAGATGCTTTAAATCCTGGTCCGGAGTGGCCTGGCTGACATTAATGCAACTTCATGGGTGCCAGCCCGGGTTCTGCCAAAACTGGTTTTGTTATCTTGGGCAGCTTCTGGGTATTTGGAATGAGGATGATAATAGTGCCTCCTTAGGTTGTTGTAAATGGTAAACGTAGGTAAAGAAGTGAGAATATAATGTTAGGTTGTGTCTTACTATGTGCTATGTGATTATACTGCTTTTAATTTAATCCTCATAGTATCTCCAAGAGGTGTGCCTTATTCTTCTCCATTTTAAGGACGTGGAAATTGAGGCACAGAGTGGTGAAGTAACATATCCAAGGTCATACAGCTAGGAGATGACAATGCTGGGATGACAGAGCTGGAGTCTGGCTATAAAGCCTAGTTCTTTGCCATCAGTCACCTGCCACTCAGGGGCAGCACACCGTATGAATGTTTCTGTGCATCCAAAACTGAGGATGGAGTGGGATGAAGAAGGGAGAGGGATTGGAGAGTGAAATCAGGACCAGGGGATGTAGGAATATGGTGTCTGAAAGACTGACTCTTGCCACTACATCTCTTACCAGCTGAAAAGGGCATGTAGGCAGGGTTCTTCTTGAAGGACTGATTGGCATCCAGAAAGTGCTCAGGGTTGAATTTCTGGGGTGTCAGGAATTGGCTGGGGTCATAGTGGACTGAGTGAAGGAGGGTGATAACATCCGTGCCCTGTGTGGGTGGAGAGCCAGAATCAGTGGTATAGAAGGGCCGGGAGATTCCCTAACTAGGATTTCCCCTCTACAGGGGTGAGGTGGAGGGGTCTTCTGGGACTTGATAAGGTGTGGGGGTGGAGTATAGGACTCCATCAGCGGTCCAGGAAATGTTGTATGGGTACTGAAAGCTATGTTGTTGGGGTCTGAGACAGGGATGTGGTTTACCTCCCCTTGTGGCGGCAGATTTGAGGCTTGGGAGGAAGGGGTGAGGTCTCGCCAGTGTTTAGCACAGGAGATTCCCAGGATGAAGTCCCAGACTTTAGGGATTTTGGAGAGACCTCCTACAAAGGGGAACTGTCATAGGGAAGGGGTGTGGGATTCAGGACAGGGTTTGGTCCATTATGAGAAGGGATGGGGTCCCGGGAAGGGGCCGAGGCTCTAAATTTAACGGTCCCAGATCTATGTTGCTATGGCTTAGGATGCCGATTGCTAAGGCAAGAGTCTGAATGTCTTGCTAGCGTGCCAGATGTCCACTGCTAGGTGCCCAGCGCACCTTGGGTATCAGGAACCCGCGAAAGGCTGTGTCCCGGGTGACGCGGTGCGGCAAATTCATGGGGATGACATCTGCGAAGCGCTGCACCTCGTGGATCACCGCATCTGTATAAGGCATGGCCACTCGGTCCTCCAGCACCGGCTGCCGCTCGCGTCCCACCACGCGGTCGATCTCCTCCTGTAAGCGGGCTGAAGGTGGAGGGGGGAGCGTAGTAGAGCCTATCAGCGGAATCGACTGGGCAAGGAAGACGTGTGGGAGTTCATGTGGGAGGGGCCCTGTCAACGCTTCCCAGTCGGGGCGCCACTGCAAGGGTGCATGTCAGGGTTAGCTAGAGCCTCGGGAGGGAGAGGTTGGATTCAGAGATGTATGTGAGGGCGAAAGTCTGGTCCGTGGAGAGGGTCCTAGGGGCGGGGTTGTGCAAGCGGGTCTTCGGAGCTGCTTGGAGTCCAGGTCCCTGATGGATTGTGGGCGGGGCTTCAAGGACCAGGCCCACAGGAGGTTGGATCGAGTGGGTGGGCTGTGCGGGAGAGCGGAGAGATCAGGGGTGGGGCAAGGGTCAAGCACCCGACCGGAGTCTGTCCTGGAAGCCAGGGTTCCGGGATAGACTCAGAAGCAGGCTTTGGGAGGTGGGGTCTCAGATGGTGCTGTGTGGGCGGCTCAGAGGTGGACCCCAAAGCAGGGCCGTGCAGGCGGGGTCAAGGTCTGGACAGGCTGTGCGGATCCCGGGAGCCACGTGGGTGGAGTCGGCCTCTGTCTGGGTTTGTGGGTTTGGCTGTGCGAGCAACGCGTAAGCTGGAGGCTTGGACTGTCAGGCATGCTGGGCGGGGCCGTAGCTCGTTGTGGGCAGGGCTTAGAGGTAGGGGGTTCTCCCAGCCAGGTTTGGGGCGCACACCTTGCACTTTTGGGTACTTCATTAACACAAGGAATGCGTGGCGCAGCGTCGTGCCCACCGTCTCGGTGCCACCAAAGAGCAGGTTATGTGTGCTCATTATGAGGGTATCCAGGTAGAAGTGGCTCAGCGGATCCTGCTTCTCCTGCGAGGTTTAGGCAGAGATAGGGACCAGAGTCGGGAGATCCCGCCCGGACTCTGACCGCGGACTCGGAGCCCGTGAGACCCTCTCTCGACAGACGTGCACAACTGCTACTGGAGGAGGCCAGTTCAGTGCCTCCTCTGCTTCAACTACCTTTCCTCGGGGAAGCTGGGGAGCGGGGAAGGGTGGGGTAGGGAAAATCTCAGCAGCAGGGTCCCTATTAACAGATCCTTAGCGACTTCTTAACAAGTTGTTAATTGACTGTGGCCCCTTAAGCCCAGCAGAGCCAGGTGCTGCAGCTTCATTTCTCGGATGTGGAGAGATCATACCCAGACCCACTTAACCCGGAATTCCTGCTGGTTTGAGGCAGGGGCAGCAGGTTTGACCAGAGATGGAACTTCCAGACAGGGCTTACCTGTGCCATTTTGGTGAGGAAGCAATCAATGAAGTCTCGGGGAGAGTTGGGGTCGAGGGACGCCTGGTGCTCGCGGACGCTACAGGCGATAAGGTCCTTCATGCGCCCGAAGTTCTGGAAAATGCGTCGGTGTGGTCCGGGCACCCAGTCCAGGAAGTTCGGGAAGATGTTGTACAACTAGGGATGGAAGTCGGAGGGATTTGGAGGAGTAGGCAGGATGTGTGTGTGTGTGTGTGTGTGTGTGTGTGTGTACCCGCGAGCCGTCGGGTGGTGAATCAGGTAGGCAGGGGCGCGGTTTTGAGGGTCAGGGGCTTCTTGAAGGGGCGGCGGGGTGGGGGCGGGCTGTGTGTATAGGTGGAGATTCTGAGTCGTGGTAATGGGCGTGGCTAGACAGGGCCTAGTAACTTGGGGGCAGGTCATATGGGAAGGGGCGGGGCCATGCAGGGTCAATCGCAGTCCCTTCCCCGCAATTGTTTCCATTTAGTCCCTGTGCTGTGTGGTCCCCGAAACGCCATCACTTGCCGAACTAGGCCTCCTGACCTCTCCCCAGGGGCTGCTCATGATTTGGAAATTGTCATTGATGAGGCGGATAATGGTGAGCAGACGCTCGTCGTCGTAGTTGAAGCGGCTGCCGAACATCACGGAGCAGATAATGTTGGCCACAGAGCGGCTCACCACAATCGTGGGGTCGAAGGGCTTGCCTGAGGGCGAGGGCCGGAGAGGGTCATGGGGCACAGCTCGGGAGACACAACGCACAACACACCAGACCCCATGCGGCCACAGAGCGCACAACACCCACCCCAACCGTGACAGCGTGGCCTGCAGCACAGGACACATACTCAGGCCACCTAACATGCGGCGTGACAACACTGGGAAAGTATTTGGCAATGGAAGAGGCAGCACAGACCCCACACGGCCTCCCTCAACGACAACAATAGGAAACAATGGAACATGCTTCTCTTGGTGACACAATACACAGAATGCACAACACACCATATACACAACCTAGGATACACCATTACACAGAGTGATTGACAACACTATAACCTCACCCAGCAATGGCACACAGAAACACAACCCCTGGCACTCACTGATCAGACAACCAAACAGATCAGAGAACACTACCCAAAACAACACACATTCCTACCCGTTAGCCATTACACAATAGCATGCCCAGAAAACTGGGCCTGGAGTTGACAGACATAGTTTGGCTCTTGGTTTGGCCTCTCAGTCTTGGTGTGACCTGGCTGAACTGACTTCCCTTCTCTGAACCTCAGTTTTCTCGCCTGTAAAATGGATCTGATGACAGTCTTCTCACAGGGCTGTTATAAGGCATTGGGCAGTGTGTGGCTGGTTAGTGCTTAGCTAAGGGCCTGGCCCATTGTGAGCCTGTTATAAACCAGGGTAATGTGGCTGAATAATGGCCCCCCAAAGATGCCCATGTGCTAATCTCCAAGAACCTGTGGATATGTGATTAAGATGGACAGGTTCTTCTGAATTATCTGGGGTGGGCAGCTAATGGAATTACAAGGGTCTTTATAA